GACAAAAAAAGGTTCTTAATTAAATTACTCAACTCAGTGAACACAGTACAGTCAAAAGCAGACGTCAGTGTCAAACATTTTAGGGTCGTGAATTAGATTCATATTTTTGCACGTAAAATAAACGTGACACGCAGCAACTATTCACTTTACTCCGTCTAGCCACTGAGTTGATATTAAGCGGACTAAGAATATAATTCATATTGTCATTACGACTTTTCTCGTACATTAAGCCTGATAATCCTTCTAGTTTATGTGTTCTCCATTGTTGAACTTACACCATTTATTAAAGTGGTCGTTCATAACATGCATTACAAAAATTACAACATGCATTCGATTATTTATTAGTGTTATAATTGCTGAAACTCTTAGATGTAATACAAATTACGAGGGTATAGATCTGGTACTCTCCAAACGAGACATTTTAGCGAAAGTATTTCAAATCTTCAATTCTTCTGTGGTGAAATGAAACTATCAGTGATACTTCGAGAGCTTACTGGGATATATCAGATTAACTAAAATGAATGTGGTACTTACACTACTTGATTATGTTAGAAGTCATCATTGCCAGTCAGTCAGTCAGTAAAAACGTAGAACTTCGTACGTACGTACATCAGTTCGAGTTGCCACACCACATTAGCACAGAGATGCAGTAGTCGATTCAAATCACGTAGTAGTAGAGTTAATAAGAGTATAAGCAGTAATCGGAAATATTAGTGTTTGGAGATGTCACTTAAAGAGTATAAAACAGTGAAATAGACTTGGGAAGAGAAAAAAAGAGACAAGGGGGAATCAGGAGATCAGAATCTGGGAGAACACAAAGAGTGGATGCACCTGCGCCATTGCAAACGATTTTGAGCCATGTCATTCAAGGTCTCTAACCATCGGTTGCTATCATCTCGCGGTCCTCAACCAGGTAGTCTACACCTACCGACATGACTCAGTCAACTTGTCAGTGACTTCATAGACTTGTGCCATGTTTTGGTCTGGTCGCCCCTAGCTTTCTTCCAACCTACTCCTATACCACTGAACATCGCACGTCGAGGCAGTCGATCGTTGGGCATACGTAACATGTGTCCCAGCCATCTCAACTGATGAAGTTTCACCCATTCATCAATCGATTTGCCATCCTTACCTAGTACTCGTTTCCCAACAACTGCATTACTTACTCGATGGTCCCAGGATATACGAGCAATATTTCAAAGACACCTGTGATCAAATACTAGTAGTCTACGAATATTCTCTACTCTTACCGGCCATGTTTCACTGCCATAAAGCAGGACGGAACGAACTGATGCACATTAAACACGTCCTTTGGTTGATAGACGGATACCTCGCCCACGCCACAAATGACGCAAGTTGGCAAAAGCTAGTCGAGCCTTCTGTATCCGTGCTGAAATTTCGTCACACACCAGACCACAAGGGCTGATGAGACTTCCAAGATAAGTGAAGCGATCGACACGCTCAATTACTTCACTCCCTATCATTAGTTCGGGTGTCGATGCAACCCAATCCTGAAGCAACATTTTGCATTTCGAGAGAGAGAGAATCGCATCTCGAACATGCTTGCATTGTTGCTTAGAGTGGTCAGAAGACTCTGCATTTTGTCAGCGTCTTCGCCAAATAAAACTATGTCATCAGCATATTCTAAGTCAACAAGTGAACCTCCTGATAGAAGTTCAACCCCTGTAAATTTAGATGAGGAAAGTGTCATCTCTAAAAGTAAGTCAATGAAAAAGTTGAACAAGAAAGGAGAGTGGACAGCCCTGACGAACACCACTTGAGGTAATCAATTCTGATGACAGTTCGCCATAAGCTCTCACTCTACCAGTTGTGTTCGAGTAGAGAGCCTGAATAAGGTTAATGTATTTCTTTGGTACTCCTTTCAGTGACAAACACTGCCATAGAACCTTACGATCAACAGAGTCGAATGCCGCCTTAAGGTCGAGAAATACTACCATTGTGGGGCGTCTTAACGTGTGTCTGTGTTCCAGAACCTGACGTAGTGTGAATACCTGATCTATACAACCACGTCCAGGTCGAAAACCAGCCTGATTTTCTCTAGTCTGCTCTTCACGAGCTTTGGTTAGGCGTCGAAGTATTATTGAAGCTAATATTTTAGACACTATATTAGTCAAACTGATTCCTCTGTGATTGTCACAAGAGGACTTTTGTCCTTTCTTAAAAACTGGCACAATCAGTGATTGAGACCAGGCAGATGGGATTACGTCCAGTTCCCAAATTCTACCTAAGACCTCAGTTAATCTCACTCCTAATACTGAACCACCATCCTTCAAAATCTCAGGAGTAAACCTGTCAGGACAGTTAAAATATACACTGTCAGCTCGAGGCACAATACGAACCAAACTGACCCAAATACACTGATGTCAGGAATATCTCAAAGTTGTTCCGCTTCAGACGATTCGTCTTCTAGTGGACATTAACATTTTAATGTAAATGTCACTTTTGAAATGAAGAAATATACAGTGATCCGTTTAATCGAGTTATCAAAACATAACACCGATTTTCAATAGATCTACAAAACTTATTTTCCATACTTTCATTAGTCCCATGTTTTACTTCGTGGTCGATAGCTTAAACTAGTCTATTTCCGTGCAAAATTCTTTGTTATTTGACGAATATTCTTTAAGTATGCTTAGGAAATTATTAATTAGTGACACGAAAACAATAGTTGGCTTCAGTCACGTAAATCGGTAGTTTGACATTTCCGAACATATTAGTGCAAACTTACTGAAACGTTTTTATTACGCTGCAATAAATCAACTTTGCTGTTTAGTTAGTCAAGTTTTAACTTTTATTAAGCAGTATTAATTACAGACCACTTGTTTGTTCAATGAACAAATCTAAGCAAAACCAATATATGATAACGATCAGTGGATATCATTATCTGGAAACATTCTGGTTACAATTTACGAGTAAATCATAATTTGTATTTCGAGGCCTTAGGTAGTGAAACTTAAAATCGTTCAAGGTAGCACGTTTGCATTAGTTCTTTATCTTCCTGTTGAATCTTGAGGTTTGTGAAACTTACATAGTTAATTTTATCAGTTCCTCTCGAACTGCATTTTCTGTACTTAGTTTACCACTTACAATGATTTTATTTTCACTCCATCACCATTCTTGTGAACTTCCCCTAAAAATAAACAAGATTTGTGCATTTTAAGGATGGATGTTTTCTGAGTAGTAAACAAATAGTAAACAGATCCCACTCATTATTGAACAGCTTAAAATAATTCAGGATGGTTGTCAGTGGTACTGAAAATAGCATGCGGTCAACTGGTAAAGCTACCTTTTAAACTAATTTGTCGAGTCTGGATATTTTTTATGGTGATAACCGTAGCAGATTGATAATTCGTACAAATGCAACTACAAAACTAAATATACCTTTTCCCCAATAACCTTGAAATTGTAAGATCGTCGCTTTGCAGTTAGCTTCATTAGATTTCCATTAAATCCGGCGATGGAATACAAGGATTAGGAAAAATGAGTCCCATTTATACGTGAATCTAAGGTGTTGGAAGAGGTACAAACGGCATAAGCAGGACATTAGGTCAAAAATATCTATTTCAACGAGACAACAAACTAAGGAAGAGGATTGAGTATTCAGAGTGAACTCGTATCTTGCTAGACATGTGCTTGTGTGTAAGACTTTACAGCTACCCACGTCATTGAAAAGGATACTTCTTATTTCGAAGGCCGACTGGATGACCGTTAGTGACCTCATCAACTAATTAGCTATCTTCACCTAGTACCCTTTGTCTAACCAGCATTACAAACAATTGTCACCAGTGCTTCCTATACGTGATTGAATACTTGTTTACCGTCACGTGCTGCCTCACAACTACGAGACAATATAGTAGATTGTTGTATCTAGAAGATAGGCAGGTTGATAGCTTACCTGATCCATAGAACTTTTTTACCTACCAGGACTTCGTCAATAATTGACTTCTTAGGGATAAACAAACTTACAGGATAAGTAAAACGATCTGCATCGTATTAATTAACCCTGAATGGCCAAACTGGCGTTGAACCAGAGCAGCTTTGAGGAGACAGTTTACATTTTAAACGAAAAAAACAAGTCTCTAGCAGGTATCAACTGTTACCCAGTATTTTTATTTGATAAAATTGGCGATTGCGCAATGAGATTAGTGAATAATAGAAAAGACGATAAGCGGGTTATCCGTAAAAACGTGTCACTAGGTTAAATAACAATGAGAGGGGACGAAAGAATACCCTAATGGAAATCATTTGAAATTTCCAATTCTGATGGGATTCGGTCATGAACTCTAACTTGACCAATAGTGAACGAGCAAAGAACTTTTAAATGGTTTATATACTTTCCTGGTACGCTTTTCCACTGTGGACGCGCTTGTGAAGTTTTAAGAGAAAAGCGATACATGATAACCAGAAAAAACTATACTGCATCTTGCAATGAAATTTAGGTTAGACTCAGTTTCGAGCTACAGCAAGAAAAACGAAGAGCAAGGAATAATTAACTAGCTTAAACTGGCAGCTAGTGTCGGCTGGAAGGTAATTCTTCAAGTGGATATGCTACTCTGTATTTGATGACAAAGAGCTCATGAATGAGTCAGCTAACAAGAACAAATCGAACACTTGGACTTTCGATTATAACAGAACTATTTCGAAATATTTGTGCCATTCGTACATCGAAGTTATTAAACGTAAGCTAATAGTCGGAGGTAACCCGAAACTGAAACATGAAATATTTGTCCTCAGATAATACAATAAATAGGTAATATTGACTAATACTGACGAAGTTACGGCTAATCGTTAGTAAAACATGTACCAGTGGCAACCTGTCGTCAAACAAATTCCAGAGTCGATGAAAAATAACAAATGAACCAGAGAAGATATTTATAATAATTGTGCATTTTACTCATTGAAGGTATTGAAGTCAAATACAAGAGATGAAGTTTGTTGATGCGAAGCTCACGAAACTTCGCCATTTACAAGGGGCTCACTTGGTTCAGAATTGTCAGGAGTATCGGGAGTTTCATTACTAGATGGTTGCTCCTCAGCATTTTTGGTGACCTGTGAATTTAGATAGTAACAGTTAAATTGTTACCTTAACGTTCGACAAATCTTCTGCTAGTCCATTGATAATATCTCTGAAGCGTGAAAGGGAACGGCCTGGAATTGTAATTGCAGTTCTAGATGCTGTTCGGACTTCTGAAATACGAAGGTAAGTTCCAAATCGATTGAACGAGGAGTCGAAGTACAGAGTACGATTATCAAACCTTAGGGACTTTGACTCCGGTAAACTAACAGCTTTATATGAAGTAAGAGTAAGAAATTTCGGAACATACATTTGCTATCATTTGCTTCTGAACCATCCCACCATTTTCCCAACATGTCATTGATGGCATTATACAAATCTAGCATGCCCTGAGAAGGAATAGCAAGTTGTATTCTGTTCAAAGTTGACAGCATTGTTAAACGGAGAAAATGACCTCTTCTGTTGCGTTTAAGGTCAAGGAAATAACGTCTGTACGGATAGTTGACTATATGGGACTTTATGAGGCTGTTTGAGGGCTGTGAATCTGTAGTTTTATTTGCATCTGAGTTTTGGGCACCTGAACTTTCGTCATTCGACTTGATCTCTTCAAGGACATCAATGAGATCCTTTAGTTTATCTTTAATTTCTACGGCAGCTTGCAGGGTCAGAAGAATTCTGGCTTTTCGACCGTCGGAACTGACCTACTTTCTCATCATGTTTAAAGTAAATCAAACCTCAGCGATTTTCATAAATATCCCTCTTCTATTTCTCTTGACATCGACATAAAACCGTTTTTTCTGGACTTGCAGGGCAACACTAGCCAAATCTTCCTCTTCCTGAATATCACCTAATTTTGTAGTGCCAACAAAACCAGAACTTACGCCTCTGGGGTAAAGGACCAGGTAAATATGGCATCATCGGAAAATGTGGATTAGGTGGTGGCCTGTACAAAAGAGGATTCATCTGACAAAAAAAGTTTGACATGGAGTAATGAAAGACTCACCATCGAAAAGTAAACGAATTATGACAAGCACGCCTAATTTGACAACAACTTCGTTCGACCCGGCAAAGTGAAATTGACGTGGTAAAAGGTTAAACAGTGGAGACCTTGAACTTGGATGCTCAAATATGTAGGCGCAGCTTTACTCAGTTGAGTGTCGGTTTGCGCCTTGAATGAAAGGGATCACAAATGATCTAACCGGACCACGGTTAATGCAAAAATCCTTCTCTTTTATACTTGTTAAACGTTGACAGAATGAGTAGCTGGATGAAATTGAAAGTCAAAAGAGGCTGCAAAAGGTGGCATTTAAATTTTACATTAGGAAGGACTCAGTTCTACAGAATGGATCAAAGGGATAAGGAAATTTCGTCCACAAAGACACTTCGCTCGTTGGCTGTATGTAAAATGTCAGACTGTAAAGTAACCACAGCAAAGATAAGATGTTGACGAAAGAGGCCTTAGAATTGTAACTTTCCGGGTTATGGGGCTTCGACAAAGGATGATGCAAGAGTCACTTTGGGTGGGACACGCAGTTATTTATACGGATATATGGAGCTTGCTCAACAAGCGATTGGGGCTATGTGTTCAAAATGGTTCAAATGGTTGTGGACAGAATAGAAGCTTTCGCTTAACTGACTTCCGTGTCTACTAGCAGTGGATCACTAATGCTTCCAGGCAGGAACCTAGGTATAGTAACGATAAAAAGGAAAACGAAGTTGGTAAATCATAGCAAGATACTATCCTTAGCCCTTAAGTGTGTGTCAAGTTTCTTCTTAAAGGATTCCTGGGAAGTCGCTTGGCCTGGTTCAGCCAGCATCGAATTCCAACATTTGACAACTTTTAGAAAGTAGAAGTTGTGCCTACAATCCGTTCTGCAGGTTTGTGTCTTTAGTTTCTAGGTGTTACCTCTTAGGATTGTGTTGGAGCTAAACCTAAGGAGATGTTTAAGGAGATGTCCAGAAGTGTTAAGGATGTTGTAAGCCATATACTCCAACGGGTAAAGATTTAGTGATTGGACGTGCTCTTCATAAGGCTTGAATTCGATTACGCGAACTGATTTCGTGGCTTACCGTTGGATACGCTTCATAATGTCCTTATCCTTTTGGAGTGAGGGAGGAAATACTGTTTCCGGTGCAAGTTTAGCTCGAAAAGCAGTTTTATCACAGTTAGCGTTAGACTACAAATCGTAGGGTACCAGCACTCCAAAATCATTTTCAACTTAAGACACTTCTGAAGAGAAGTTTCCAAAGTTGTAACTGTAGTTTGCAACATGTCTCCAATGGACTACTTTTCACTTTTAAATGCTAAAGGTAAGTCCGTTATCATCTACTCAATTTTGAAGTCGAGTCAGATCCTTCTGAATTGCCAGTGTATACTCTTGATAGCATATCTCTTTCCAAATTTTCACATCATCAGGAAAAATTAATAAATCAGACGATGCCCGTTGTGGAAGACCTTTTATGTAAATCAAGAAGAGAAGAGGTTCTAGTACTGGGCCCTGACAGGTTCCACAAGGAAGAAAGTAGAGTTAACCCTGACCTTAATATGTCGGTTTTTTAGATATGAAGTGAGCCAATCAATTAAAAGTGACTTGATACCCAATCGTTTTAGCTTATTGATAAGACATATTTGAATGACTCTATCAAAAGCTCCTGAGAAGTCAAGGTAAATGACGTCAACTTTCACCTTGCGATCAGGAATGGTTATTCATCTGTCCACTGCAGTCAGTAGGTTGATTGTACAAGAACGACCTTCTTCAGACCATGATGTTGGGGTGAAAAGTAATTTAAGGAAAATAAATAGTCGTGTGGACCATTGCAAATAAGAAACTCCATAGTTTTTAAAGGTATAGACAGAAGAGCCACCTGTCAGTGGCTTGGACTCCGTTGAAGATTGGTGTGATATGGGCCAGCTTCCGAATTTTCGGTAATTTGCTTCGACTTAACGAGTGTGAGAACGTAACGCTAAGCAGTGTTGCCAAAATTGAGGCTGCTGACTTCAGTATATCAGAATGAACCATAACTGGACCAGAAGTGTCTGTTTTAGGTGCTGCAAGTTCCGTTACACAAAGTCAGCGCTCTGATTCACTTCAGAAAGTCCTGTGCAGTTACAGATAGTAAATGTGGATCGGTTGAAATGTTAGAGAGGGTGTAACAGCATAAGTTGGTTGGTTAAGAGTTGACCCCCAAACAACCAAGCATATGCCAAAACAGTATTGTTCAAGTATTCATTCACTTCCTTATTTTGTATAAGCGTTAGATTCCCTATTATCTTAAATTGAATGTTGAGAGCCTTTGTTTGTCTGAACAGATAATCCCACGCTCCACTGTGACTGCGCTAAGATCGAAATAAAGACCTATTCACTACTTGTCTGGTTTCTTCTATCAATAGCACGAGGGTTACCTTAAGGCACGAAGCTGGTGAACCCTTTTGAACACAAATTTAACCTCATATCTGTTATTAACCTTACTTTGTTTACTTAATCGTAAAAATAGACCTGATAATCCGTAAACTAAGTTGGGTATATAAATAGTTTATTCTTTTTATTATCTTAAGTTATTCGTGTCATAGAAACCATTTTTTTTCGTGCTAATTTTATTGCTATATTTGTCACATACTTCATGTCAGACTCAATAGAAACTCATAATCTGGATGATTTATCATTAGTGGAGATAGACACTGTAATGACTAGGAAATCATGACTTCCAGAATTCTATCGTAGTGATCCTGAGTTGTGGTTTGCTCAATTGAAGCACTATTTCACGAGACACAATATCAAACCTGAAGGGATTCGCTATAGAGACTTGTGTTCTATCCTTCCTCCTTCAGTCGCCAAAGAAGTTCGTGACTTGATTTTAATGGTGGATGGTTCAGATAAAGCAGTAGGCGGTACCCTTAACCAACTGGTTAAAAACGCCTGGAAACCAATTGCTTTCTTCTCGAAAAGACTCGCTCCAGCTGAGACAAGGTATTCTACCTGCGGGCGAGAACTTCTTGCAATCTACCTGACCATTAAACACTTCCGACACATGTTATAAGATAGGGAATTTATAGTCTTTACGGATAACAAACCACTGACGAATGCATTAAAAGCGAGAGCCGATAAATACTCACCTCGAGAAGTGCCGACACCTTGACTATATATCACAGTTCACAAGCGATATCCGACATGCCAAAGGTCAGGACAGTCAGGCGGCAGATGCTACAGCAGTCTACAGTAAACTTCGAGACGTTGAGACACGAACAAGAGCAGGACCTAGAATCACAAAACCTACTTAAAACAAACAATTCAAGTCTTAATTTAAAACAGTTCCCATCACCTATCGATGGTATTCTAATTTACTGTGGCACGACGAAGGCAATGCCGCGACCTTTCGTTCCCAAAAATATGCAAAAGTTGATGTATGATAACCTTCATTCTTTGTCTCATCCTGGCGCATAAGCTTCCAGTAAACTAATCAATGCCAAATATATATGGCCACATTTACAGAAGGATGTACACACAAAGGGTTAGAGAGTGTTCAGCATGCCAACAATCAATGATTAATCGTCACACACATTCACCCATAGGTGTTTTCTCGCAACCAGATGCACGTTTTGCACATGTGCATATCGACTTGGTAGGTCCTTTACCATGTTCAAACGGTTCTAATTATCTTTTTACATGCCTAGATCGATTTACCAGATTCCCTATAGCCATCCCGATAGTGGACATCACAGCGGAAACAGTAGCCAAAGTTTTCACGCAGGACTGGGTAACCATTTTCGGTACACCCAAAACAATAACGACGGATAGAGGAGCGCAATTCCAATCCGAACTATTTAATAACTTGGCTAAACTTCTAGGCTCCAATAGGATACGCTGCACTGCATATCATCCTCAGGCTAATGAGATGGTAGAACGTTTTCACCGTCAGCTAAAAACCGCCCTTATATCTCACTCAAACCCCAATCAGTGGACGGAATTCCTACCGTTAGTTATGTTGGGAATACGAACATCTGTCAAAACTGATGCACAGTATTCAGCTGCGGAACTGGTTTTCGGAACAACTCTGAGACTACCAGGTAAATTTATTAACCCTAATACTAACAGTCAAAAACTTAATTTAGAAAATTACGTAGATCAACTACGGGACCATATGTCTAAAATTAAGCCAATTAATACTCGTGAACAATCACGCGCCATATATGTACCTAAAGACCTAAGCAATTACACGCAAGTCTGGATAAGATGTGACAAAATGAAAGCACCGCTCAGTCCCCCATTTGAAAGTCCTTTCAAAGTCGTCCCAAGAAAATATAAACATTTCGTGATAGAAAAACATGGAAACATCGACACAGTAAGTATTGTTAGGCTAAAGCCGGTTTATCTAGATCATGAACCACCATACGTGTTGTTAATTCGTTTAACTGACAAATCCATTACGGAATCGAAATGTAACAATGAAAAATCTACACAGATGACTAAAACGGTTAGCTGGACACATCCGATTACTCAGTCAAGGATGTTGACAGTTTCGGCTGCAGGATAAAATCTAACCACGTAGCTAATCAGACCCTGCATCTACTTAAAAATCTTTTTTTCCTCATTCCGCCTCACCTAAACCTCCCCAGACCTTTTACCTTTAATATATGTGTTATGCTCAATATTTTTTTAAGTACTGGACACATAAGCTAGGTATTCCAAAACGATGGTTGAGGATTTTAATCAAACTCATACAACTAACACTTGCAAATACAACGAATTCAAAAATCAACTCAGTCGAGTTTTATAATTTCTTTTTCTGGTTAATTAACTATGTTAGCTGTACTTCTTATATATCTATATACATTTTTCACGTAGACTGACTATACATATGTACCATATGAACTACTTCTGAAAGTTTTCGGTTGAAGATATTTTTAGTAGCTTGATACGATCAATACTACTATTAATAAGTGGTTTTTAGACAAAACATTTTGGATTAAACCATGGTCAAGTACTGTTTAAAGTTCTCATCATTTTT